CCACAAGAGACCGCAAATAGCCAAAGCAATCTTGAGAAAGAAGAACAAAGCTGGAGGCATCACACGTCCTGATTTCATACTATATTATAAAACTATAGTAAACGAAACAGTATGGTAGTGGCATTTAGAAAAAGACACATAGATCAATGGAACAGAATCAAGAGCCCTGAAATAAATCCACACATATATGATCAATTAATTTATGACAAAGGAGCTAAGAATATACAGTGGGGAAAGGATAGTCTTTTCAATAAATAGTGTTGAGAAACTGGATAGCCACATGCAGAAGAATGAAACTGTACCACTATTTCACACCATACACAAAAATCGACTCAAAATGGATTAAAGACTTGAACATAAGACCTGAAACCATAAAACTTCTAGAAGAAATCATAGGGGGTAAGCTCCTTGACATCAGTCTTGGCAATGATTTTTTGGATTTGACACCAAAAGCAAAGACAGCAATAGCAACAATAAACAAGGGGGACTACACCAAATTTGAAAGTTTCTGCATAGCAAAGGAAACCCTCAACAGAATGAAAAGGCAATATGCTGAATAGGAGAAAATATTTGCAAACCATATATCCAATAAGGAGTTAATATCCAAAATATATAAAGAACTCATACAACTCAATAGCAAAATATAAACAATCCAATTAAAAAATCGGCAGAGGAACCAAGTAGACATTTTTCCAAAGGACATACAAAAGGCCAACAGGTACATGAAAAGGTGTTCAACATCACTAATCATCAGGGAAATGCAAATCAACGCCACATTGAGATATCACCTCACATCGGTTAAAATCACTATCCTCAAAAAGAAAGGAGGTAACAAGTTTTGGTGTGGATGTGGACAAAAGGGAACTTTTGTATGCTGCTAGTGGGAGTGTAAATTGGTGCAGTCACTATGGAAAACAGTATGGAGATTCCTCAAAAAATTGAAAACAGAACTACCATATGATCCAGCAATCCCACTTCTGGGTATTTATCAAAAGGAAATGAAAACAAGATCTCAAAGAGATATGTGCATTCCCATGCTCATTGCAGTATTATTCACAATGGCCAAGATAAGGAGATATGGAAACAACCTAAATGTCAGTCAATAGATAAACAGATAAAGAAGATGTGGTATATACATAGAATGGAATACTATTCAGCCACGAGAAAGAAGGACATCCTGCCATTTTCAACAATATGGATGGACCTTGAGGGCATTGTGCTGAGTGAAATAAGTCAAACAGAAAAAGACAAATACTGTGATATCACTTATACGTGGAATCTAAAAAAAGTTAACTAATAGAAACAGAGACTAGAATGGTGGTTGCCAGGGGCTGGAGGGTGGAAGAAAAGGGGAGAATTGGTCAAAGAGTACAAACTTCCAGTTAGAAGATGAAAAAGTTCCAGGGGGCAATCTAATGTACAGCATAGTGATTGTAGTTAATAATACTGTACTATATACTTGAAAGCTGCTAGAAGAATAGATCTTAAATGTCCTCACCACAAAAAAGAAATGGTAATTATGTGATGCGACGGAGGTGCTGGCTAATGCTATGCAGAGTTATCATATTTCAATATACAAGTGTATCAAATCAATACCTTGTACATCTTAAACTTATACAATGTTATATGTCAATTATATCTCAATAAACCTGGGGGGAAAATCTAAAACAAGTGATTTGGAAATTAGAATGATTTGACCAATGATATGCACCACAACTTATATCATTTGCTAAGCAGTTTTAAGAAATATATAGTATATAAACTAACAGGAATTTTTTAATTTAGTTTTATTTTCTATTTTGATTTACATTGTCAAACATGTTATTAACTATGTTGAGCATCACCTCTGCCTGCTTCATGCCAGGAGCAGTATAATCTTATTTACTCCTGTACTTCTCTCTCCTGTTAGATTACGACCATTCCATTGCCACCCAGAGGGCAGCATGAGATCAGCATGCCAGCACACTGTTAATGTCTGTAAATATCTGAATCATAGACTCATACAGCTGGAATGGACTTTAGAGATTATGTCCAAGTTCCGCTTTACACATGAAAAGACTGATCTCTGGGCAGGGGAACTGACTTACACAGTTACCACACAAGGGGCATGATCTGCTCACCACGAGACAAAAGCCAATTGTCAAGAGGCAAGATGGTGGCAGAGAAAGGGCATTTTATGCTTGCTAGCAAGAGGGAAGATGGCTGACTAATGTCCGAAAGAACTATCTTAAGGGGGGCACACAATCTTGAAGCAGTTATATAGGCCATTGGGTTATAGGAGAGGGGGTTAGGAAAGTTGACCCTCTGGTGTTACAGTCTGGGAGTCGCCACACCAGATCTTTCAGTTTCATTGATGATGGCTATCAGCATAGACTCTCTGTTTGGGGGTCATCACATTCCTAAGGAACTCCAAAGAACCAAGTTATCGTCTTATTGTCTTATTGCAGCTGGGAGGTATATGCACAAGCAGGGGCCATAAAATCTACAGAGCAGGTGGATCTCCTGGAGGGCGCAAATCCAGCTGGGTTAGTTAGTCAGAGGTCATTCAAAGTTACAACTTAGTCTCTTTTCTACAATATGGCTTCCCTTATGTCAACGTTGTGTTGAGCCGGTTTCACAACCAGTTGTGATAGAACCCAGACCTCCTGACTCTCATTTAGGAGGCACGCTGCAGCACAAGGGTTAAGAATTTTAGCCGAGAGATGTGGGTTCAAATGTCAGCTTTGCCACTTACTAGTTGTGTAACCTTATGTAAATTATTTCATTTCTCTCAGTCTCTACAAAATTTAGATATTCCTACCACCTAAGGTTGTTCAAAGTCAATTAGCCTCTACATGTGTGTGTATACGTGTATATATAAGCTCTCATTACAATCGTTATGGCTTTGACTGCTGCACCAGGGAAGTCTCTCATTTTCTCATCCTAATCCAAATGTCCCTCTACACATGGCCTCTCCCATGGCCACAAAGAGTGTGAAAGGGCAGCAAGTGGGCATCAGAACAAGAAGACAGTCGACTCTAATGTGAGTAACAAAGCTTGTCTAGAAACACCAAGGAATACAAATGGCCATGACTTTAACGCCTGGTGGCTCCAACATCAGGGAGGCTCTGAGTCACATCATAGTTTCTAAATTACTTGCAACATTGTGCCAAGGAAAGCAGGCCAGCACGCAGACACGCAGCTCCAGGCAGACACACAGCTCCACGCAGACACGCAGCTCCAAGCAGACACGCAGCTCCAAGCAGACACGCAGCTCCAAGCAGACACGCAGCTCCAAGCAGCCTGCGCTGGGGCCTGAAAGAGCCTGCTCTCAGGTCAGCGGTACCTTAAACTCTCCCTAAGAGCCCATGGAACACTTTTCAGCAACAGCCTTGTGGACAGACATAGAACTCACCACTAATGAAACACCCTAACAACAAAATTAACTTAATTAGGAAAGAAAAACAAAGTCCATAGGATTGGTAAAACTCTCACCAATAGAAAAAGATTCCTGGTTGGAAAGATCAAAACCACTTAGAAAATAGAAGACTGGGAGAAAACTAGTTTAATCAAATAAAACTAGGTCTTCCAGCTGCTGCTTTGTGGCTGCTCTCTGCCTGGGGTCACATACAAAATGAACACAAGTCAGACTCCAACAGCCGCAGAGAAGGACAAAGCCTTTAGGGAAAGTGTCTTGAAGATGCGCAAAAGGGGAATTACACCACAACTGGAGAATAAAATCGAACTTCCTAAAGATCCAGCTCCTTCTCCCCAAAGGTGCCCTGGAGCCATTCTCATGCCTCACAGCCTCTCAGCTGCGTCTTTCTCCCTGGTGACCTCAGGCCCTTCCTCCTGCAGAGCCGCCCACCACACAGGCAAGAATGGGAGACTGAATACTTATTCTTTTCCTCTTTCTTCCCTAAGAGACCATTTTTAGTCCAATTAAGTACCTTTTCAGGCCATAGTAAAGTTCTAAAGGTTGCCATCACAAGCATTGAAAACCAGCAACTTGTTTCATGCATCGCTTTCTCCTCCTGTTGCACAGACCAGATCACTACAATTTGGGAAGCTATTTGTGCAGATTCTCCTACAGGTTTTATATTCAACAGACTGTTCTGTTCTTTCTAAGGTTTTAAATGAGCCCCTGGTGACTTGAAATTTAATCTCTTTTTTGCTTTCAGTCTCTTTCGTTTCATCTTCTCAAGCCTCAGCCAAATGCTTGGGAACCACCTGACCTACGCTCAAACCTCACCATTTTTAAAGGCTTATTTTCCTAGGCCTGGGGTTCTGTGAATGATTGAGGGGGTGAAACCTAAACAGATCACTCTTAAACTAAGCCACACATGGGCACATTGGATCTCCCAGAAGGGAAAGCCATTCTGTTAGCTTCTCATTTTAAAGGGTCTACACTGAATTACACCACGTGAAAATATTATGGGTATTTTTGTATACAAATAAAGAACACGTTATGTACAAATCACAGCGGCTCAGGATTTTGACATTATTCAACAGACACTTCAGGTGCCCAATGTCCTATGATGTTTAAGGGTGAAAAACTTTTGCCTTATCCCTGAGCTGGGTTTGCTCTTGCAGCAAATGTCGTTGTGCTGTAGGAAAAAGACCACAAGCCAGAGTCATAGGACCCAAGTTCACATCGTGGCCCTGACTCATGGGCTCTAGGGCCTTGGTCAAGTGCTAATAAAAGATTCTATTCGCTGATCTCCTAGTAAATTAAATATAGCTACAAATTCTTTATGGCTTTTCTCATCAACAGGGGGAGTCTCCAACCTTTGAATCTTGGCTGGTCTTGTGACTTGCTTTGACTAATAGAATGTGGCAGAAACAGCACTGTACAAGTTTCAAAGCCTTGCAGCTTCTGTCTCCGCCATCATGGAATGCTTCCCTGAGACCATGTAAGGAAGCTACTCTAGCCTGCCGGAGGAGGAGAAGCCATGCGGGAGAAGCATGGCATCATGGCCCACACTTAGCATCAGCTGCCAAATATACAAGTGAGCCTCTCTGGGACCTTCCAACCCAACTGACCCTCCAGCATCCAGCATTTTGAGTTCAGGCAGAAGCAGCAGAGGAGCCACCCCGCCGACCTACAGAAGCATGGAGAATGAGTCATTGTTGCTTTAAGTTAGTAAGCTTTGGGGTGGTTTGTTACATAGCAAAGGCTGAGTCCCTATTTCCTCATTCAAATGGGATAATAATACCAACCCAATCTATTCATGTGTTTATCCAACAGAGTTATGCATGACCTACTATATACTGTCTATAGAATATATATGGATATATAATTTTGAGAATCAAATGAGATAACGAATGTTAGTATACCTGGTAATTTTAGTTTTATTATTGTTACTAGCCCCTCCATTTCATTGAGCTCCACCATTTTTTAAGCACTTAAATTCCCTTTATATTTGATCCTCTCAAAGGATCAGAGAGCATCATTTCCAGTCTTCTCTGATGCAGCTGGTCCTTTGGCACCTGACCTGCTACTCTCATTAGCAGATAGGTCTGCCCTTAGATAAAGGACCTCTGGAACTTTGTTCTTACAGGGCCAGAAATTCACTCATTACAGGAAGCATACAACCACTGCGATAATGCGCAATGATGGAGGGCTTTCCCGTTACCATCCCAATAAGAGCCTTTTAAAAAATTCTTTAACAACGATAATAATGACTAAAGTTTATTGAACACTTACTATGTGCCAGGTGCAGTACTGAGTTTTTTAGTGAACTGTAGTTTGACTCAACAGCAGTCCAAGGTAGATACTATTATTATCCATATTTTGTGGTAAAAAAAAAAACTGAAGCCCAGCAAAGATAAATAACTTGCCCAAAGGCAGACGGCATGAGGTGGACCAAGATTCAACCCCTTATAATCTGAGCCCAGAGCACCACCCTTAACCACGCCCTGGTCTACTCACTTGACCTTATTCATGCCATGTTCCCTGCGACTCCCAATACTTGTCCAGGACTAAGAACATGTCTTTTTCAAGCTGAGCTCATTAGAAGTGAAGTTCTGTGACCCTGGCCAAGCCATTGCCTTCTCTAGACCTCTGCCCCACACCAGGTAAACCATGCAGAGGGTTAGACCAGGTAATGTCGAAAAATCCTTTCCAGCCCTGAAAATTAAGATGGTAAATTCTTCCCTAACATCTTGTTATATTCTGAGATTTATTCTCTTTCTTATTAAGACAACTAAAGAGCATTAGGGGAGGAAAAGGAAAAGCAGATGCTATAAAAGTGTGTTTATTAACTAACGTATGGAAACGAAAGGGCAGCAGAGGAAATTCTATTTATATCTCCCTCAAGGATTATGCCACGATCTACACTATTTGATTTTTTTAATGCATTCATTCAGAGCCGAGAGTCTGTAGGGTGCTCTTTAAGCCTGACACTGAATGAAATAATTCAATTAAAATAGGCTTGAGGCTTTTGCAAGGTATTAATCTCCCTGAAGAGAAGATTTAGGACTCGCTCAAGGCAGCTTCAGCACCGGCATTGGGGAGATCATAGGAAAGCATAAGAAGGGCTCAGTGAGGGCTGCTTCTGGACATATTGGAGGAGGTGAGTTCCAGGTTGCTTGGAAAAGGGGTCATCAGAGCGGGAACCATAGCTCAGGGAAAACAGACTCTGTCAAAAAGCTTCCCAATAGCTCGCTAGAGTCTGACATTCATTCGATCATATTGCCCTGGATAAAACCTGTCATTCCCTAGCGGGACGTGAAACTTAATAACAATCATCAACAAGAACCATTCTTTGAGTGCTCTCTCTATCCTGGGTAGGGTAGTGACCTAAGCGCTTTTCATGCCTTGTCTTATATAGTCTTCACAACTGTATGAGGTCAAAAGTCATCAAGCCCATTTTACAGATGAGAACACTGAAGCGCAAAGAAGTGCCATGACTTGCCCAAGGCTACGGAGCTAGCAAGTGGCAGACTCAAACCCTCGTCTGGGGGCCAAAGCCAGTGCTCAACACTATGCCACTTAAAATCAGGTGGGATGTTACTGCAGGAATCTGCACTCGGAGAAGTGGGTGCATACAGAGAAATGCAGACATGGTCCCTTTCCTCAGGTGCATGCAGTCTGATCCGCAAACATGACATACTCAGAATAGCGCAAACTAAGTTACACATGACTGAGGTCAGATCCAAACCTGAGGACAGGTTTTCACATGGGCGGGACCAAGAGAACAAGATAACTGGAAAAGGAGGATGTGAAACAGGCAAGCTGTGGACCTAAAATCACCCTTCACAGGTCTGCTCAAGACTGGCCTTTTTTTTTTAGGCTAGTAAGATTCTGACTCCAGTTCCAATGTATAGGAGGGTTCTTTCCCACACCATGCAATTCTCCAACACCAGCTGGGTGTCCTATGATTTAACTCAACTCTGACACTATTTACCCAAAGATAGCATCAGATTCCACAGGTTAAGGGCTCAGTCCCAAAAGACTGCCCACCACATTCCCATCCCCTAACCCCACCCCCACTTCAGATGCCAGTCACAAGCCCGAGTTTTCTGACTGAATGGCTATAGATCAGAGTTTCAAACAACCCCCTCCTTAGGTTTGATTAATTTACTAGAGTGGCCCACAGAACTCAGAGAAACATTTTACTTACTAGAGTACCAGTTTAGGGTGAAAGGCTATAACTCAGGAACAGCCAGATGGAAGAGATACATAGGGCAAGGTATGGGGAAAGGGCACAGAGCTTCCGTGCTCTCTGGGCACACTGCTCTCCCCGCACCTCTACGTGCTCCCCAACCAGGAAGCTCCCTGAACCCAGTACTTTGGGGCTTTTACGGAGGCTTCATCACACAGGTGTGACTGATTAAATCATTGGCCATGGGTGACTGAGCTCAATCTCCAGCCCGCTCCCCTCCCCAGAGTCAGGAGGGTTGGACTGAAAGTTCCAACTGCTAATCATTTCTCCTGGCAACCAGCCCCCTCCTTAGGTGTGGTCCAAAAGTCACCTCATTAATGTAACACAACACACCTTTATCACTCTCATCACAGGAAATTCCAAGGGTTTAGGAGCTCAGTGTCAGAAATGAGGGTGAAGACGAAATATACATTTGTTATAAATCACAGTCTCACAACTGGGCATCCATGGGATTCAGAACTGTGTCTTCCTTATTCAGCTCCATAGCCCCAGGATCCAGCAATTACATTTTGTTGGGAGAATGGAAGAGTACCTGAAAGAAGAAAAAGAAAACATACAAAATTAAGTAAGCCAAAGAACAAGAAATCTCAACCCTAAATCTAATCATTCTTCCCTTAAGGAAATAAAAGAGGGGAGAGTGAGTGTGGAGGAGCTTAGGGGAAGGACCTGAGTTACCGATCGGGTCAGGTGCAAGGGATGCCAACAGCCGAAACGACCACCTTGAATTGCTAGCCCCAGATCAGCGCCTATGAAACTTGAGTGTGCCTTAGAAGCACCTGGGGAGCTTGTTAAAACACAGATTGCTGATTCACCCCCAGAGTTTCTGATTCAGTAGATAGGGAAATTTTGCGTTTCTAACTAATTCCCAGGTGATGCTAATACTGTTGGTTCCGGGTCCAGCACTTTGAGAACCAATAGCACTCACCTTCATTGCACATTAGAATCACCTTGTGGGGGCTCATAAAAACACACAGGCTGTAACCCTGACCAAGTGCATAAGAATCCCTGGGGATGAGACCAAGTTATGCCAGCTTTTAAAAACTAGGACCAGGTGATTCCACTGTGTGGCCAAACCAGAGAGGAAGTAACGTTGAAACTGGGGTAGGCTTGAAATTCTTATCCCGTAAAATAACAGCTAATATTTCTTGAGCCCTTACCATGTGACAGTCACTCTGCTGAGCACATCATTGCGTGATCTCATTTAATCCACACAGGAACCTGTTAAGTAAGGACTATTATTCCCATTTTACTGATAAGGAGAGTCACAGAAATTCGATAATTTGTCCTAGGCCATAAACTGATAAGTGACATCCTGGAAATCCAGTTGAGGTCTATGTCTATCTGAAGACTCCTAACTACTAGGGGTCTTGAGCCCCTTCCCCAAGCCACTTAGTGCTCTGGCCTATGCCTTAAATGTGTAGTATTTGTTTGTGTCCAGATGCCAACAATCTGAGCTAGAACAGTTGGAATCAACTTCATATTTGGCATTAGAAAATAGATAGGTGGATAGATGGATGGATGATGCATAGACAGATAAATGGATAGTGTAAGGGATCAGAATTTGCCACCCCAAAATGTGTCTCTTTGGCTTGATTATTTTTTTAGGACAAAAGACTCTGAAAGAAACTTTCACCTTCCCCCTAACTGCCTAAAAGATTTTTGGATAGAAGCCCTGTCCCCAGGACAGGCCATCACCATAGATAACTCTGGGTATTGGTAGACTGGGAGAGTCCTTGCTAAGCCCATTCTTATCAAAGTTCTGTCTCTCAGGTCACATTGTCTATAGATAGCCCAGAAAACAATAATTTACCAAATATTTGCTTTTCCATCTCCATGTAAATTGCCTTCCTCCCCTTTGAAGTCCCAAACCACTACCCCCAGCATCCTCCTTTGTCTTTAGCTGAAGATAGTATTATGATGGTGGTGGCTTTGGCCATTTTGGCAAGTTACTCAGTTTTCCTGGGTTTCTCCCACGTATACATGTTACTAAACTTCGTTTTATTTTCTCCTGTCAATTTAATTCTTAGACTAGCCAGAAGGACCTAGAGGGTAGAGGAATACTTCTTCCTTCACCTACAATAGATAGATAGATAGACAGATGCAGATCTGCATTCATAGATACATATGTGAATAAAAAAATGCAAATCACAGAATGGTTGTTTTACTGAATTCAATACATTTTTTAAACACAGCCACTGTCCTGCTTACACTCCTTCGACAGCTCGCAGTCACTTCCAAGACAAGCTGAAACTCCAAATATGGCATCCAAGGCCCTTCATGATGGGGCCCCTGCCGCGGTCTCTCCAGCCACTCACACCTCCTCTGTTCACAGCAGTCTATTTTCAGTTCCCCAAATCCAGCCACGCCACCATGCCTTTGTCCATGCTCTTCTTTCTCCTTCCTTCCTCCTTATCTGCCTGGAGAACTTCTACCCAACCTTTAAAATTCAGTCAACCTCCTCCCCATAATCCTCCCCCACATCCCTTCTCTGAGCAGTCACAGCAGCATGTGTATCACATTCCATCTTACTGTCACTATTTACCATTCTCTATGCCATTTACCTGTTCGCTGAATTTCCAAAGGGACTTTTTTCACAGAATCCTGGCTCTCCCCTGAGAATGAGACTTCCCCTGAAGATCCTCGAGTAAGGCCTGTACTTTCTCCCATCCACCAGGCCTGGAGATGTGGTAGTGTCCTTCCTCCCTCTGTAAAATCCCTGCAGCTTCGAATCTCATGCTATCAGACTGCACCACCCACAACCCCTCCTTGTTACAGTCCTACTCCCAGCACCACACCTTTCCTTCCTTGAATATTTAGTTCCTGGCTCACTGTTCCACTCTCCAATATCAGTTCTGTCTTAATTATTGGTGATTTCAATATCTACATTGTTGACCCTTCCAACGTCCTGTTCACTCATTCCTTGATTTCCTCCGATGAACTTGTTCTCCATCCCACTTCACCTATCACTCCCATGGCCTCACTGCAGACCATAGACTTTGTCATTACCAATCACTAAAACCCCTCCCAAATCTCACTTTCAAGCATCCCACTCTCCAAGTGAGGACATGTCATGGGGGAGAAGGTGAGAGACAGTGCCCAGAGGCTCAGATTCCCTAGTCCATTGTCATCACCGCTCCCTCTTGCCCTATCCACTGACCTCTTCTCACTTTGTCATACTCACTTGGCTAAACCACACATTTCTTGGTTAAAACCAAATCTCTGCCTGCTCTGCACCTGCTCCCTGAGAGCCGAAAGGGACTGGAGGAAAATATAACCACGCTGACTGGGTCACTGACCATGAACCTCATGACCATGAGGTCATGACCATGAACCTCAAGCAGCTCCTATTGCTAGTCCATTCACTCTTCCACCCTCCTGGATGATTCTTTCATCCCTTTTCCTCTCTTTGCAAATCTCAAGCCCCATCCTCATTTTCAGCCCTTGACTTTGCTTCTCTAAATCATTAAGAAATTAAAGGCGATCAGATAGGAACTTCCATAAGCTCCCACCTTCCTTCACTCTCCTGCATCTGCACCCGGTTCTGGCCACCCCTTCTATGGCTATGACATAGGATGTCAGAGACCTGCCCTCTGGCCACCCAGGGATTCCAGACCCTGATGCACCATGAAGCCAGCATTCTTCCCTCTCTGTGCCAAATTCTGTATCTCCTCTAGATTGGATGATACCACTGAGACAGAAAATAAACTGTCGTGGGGGCATAGATTTCTTCTTTTTCTTAAATTGGAAATTTAAATTATTCCTCTGTGCTTTGTACCCAAGCAAAGGATAAGGCCCTTGATACACTGTTATTTCAACAAACAAAAGGCTGGGCATCGTTGTATCATCCCTCCAGTGGACGCCTATTTATCTGGCTTCTACTTATTTCAAGTACAGTGACCCAGAGAAGACAAATAAAATAGGATATGAAGTCCTTAATGTGTTGGGTATTTACTCAGATTAACAAAGACCAATTGTTCAATTCAATCAGTAGAAATAAAATCTTATTCAATCTTTGTCCCTTGTAATCATTGGAGGATCTCACAAGTGAACAGTGTATGGGAGTGGGAAGTATGTACGGGGGTAGGATGGGGATGGAGTGGAATGCCACTTTCTGTGAATGTTTTTTAAAAAGTCTTCACTTTTCCCAGAGGATTTTTGAGAAAGAAGACTATGTATGATTTTTCTCTCCTTGCTTTCCAACCCAAACTGTAGACAATTCAAATTCCCACTTTCTGTGTTATGTTAGTTAAGGCCATAGGAAAGAGTCTTCTAAAGGTATGTGCATCTTAATTTACATCGAGCACTTACCATCTGCCTTGGCATTCTGCAAGTGCTTTATGTCTGTTATTTCAATCTTTTTGTACTCACTTCACAGGATAGGTAGTATTTTATCATCATTCCCATTTACAGATTTGGAAACTGAGGCTTAGATAAATTCAGAGATTAGCCCAACATCTAAGAAGGCGAGCTGAAAATCAAACCTAGGCAGTCTGACTCCTGAGTGTGTATATAAGGGATGTCACAACACCTTCCATTCCCCTCTTGGAGATTCACTCCTTTGTACCCTCCAATCCATTAGGTATCTAAAAGGAAAACGAGACGAATGCAGTGAAGCTTCACTGAGAAGATAAAAGATGAGGTAGGTCATACAGAAGGGATCGACTTCTCAGGAAGAGAATTAGCAGAGGCAAAATGCAAATTCTGCTGGTGGAGAGTTTACATTTTAAATTCTTATCTGCTAATACATTGGTAAGGACATGGTGACCCCAGTCTCTAAGTGGCTGAGGAAGGTAGTCTAAGGTAGTGATTTCTGGAGTGAAAAGTGCCAAGGTTTAAAGCTAGGCTCTTCTTACTATGTGATCTTGGGCAAGTTACTTAACCTCTCTGACCCTCAGGTTCTTCTTAGGTAAACGGGGATGACAACAATAGTAGCAACTTCACAATCAAATTGGTACCAGTTGTTAACCAAAGAGATGCCATTAAACTTTGAGCGCAGCATCAGAGACTGAATATCCAATGGCCAGACCACATGTGAAAAGAGAACTCTAACCCACTATCTGCAACCAACCAGGAAACCAACCCATTATCTACAGTAACCAGCCCAGGACGCCAGCCTACTTACTATGTATAAGCCAGACTGGTGAAAAGTCAGACTGCTGTCTCTAGAAAAAATCCATGGAGCCAAACAATAACTCCTGTAACAACCAGCCCAAAACAGGCATGACTTGACTCATAACGGGCAGCTTCATTACATTTTATCCTTGCTTCCAACTTAGGACCAACCAGAGAAAGCCGAATATGCACCCTTAACCAATCACATAAGATGTCGTGCTTCTAGTGACTCCACCTACAACTTCCCCGTGCCAAGAGCCTTCGATCGGAGCACACCTGAAGTCTTCCCTTTTCTCCACTATAAAGCTTTCCCACCCCTTTGCCTCCTTTGAGTCTCAGCCAAAACACAAGTGATGGTGGCTGGCTCCCTTGTTATAGTTCTGAGTAAATAGTCTCTGTCTGTTCTCACTGGGTTGGTCT